GGCAAGGAACTTGGCAGCATTGTGTCCATGCCCTAGGACTTTGTGGAAGATGGAACTTAGGAGCTGTGAACCAGAGTATTTGGTGGAAGAAATTTCTAATCAGCAAAACGTTAAGGAAGCTGCATGGCTACTTGCAACAGCCTACACTGAGTTATGGCAACAAAGGCCTGAAATAAAGCCAGAATATAAAAAGGAAGGAGAGCATAAAGATTTGGAGAAGTCACAGCATGGCCATGTGGTAGAGAAGTAGAGAGCATGCCATGGTGCAGCCCAGAGACCATTAGCTAAGAAGATTGGTACAATGGAAAGAGATTATCAAGAGAAGGAGGAAAAGGCCCTGAAGGCATTGCAGAAGCCTCTGGGGCCAACTCTTCCATTTCTGGCCCAAAGACCTAGGGAGACAGAATGGTCTTGGTGAACAGGCTTGAGGAGCCCTCCACAGGCTGACTGCCTGGGTCCACCTCGGGAAGCTGCTTCCAGCACCAGCACCCCAGCTGCCTTGACTACTCCAGCTGTTGGTAAGTTGGCCCCAGGTTTGGCTGTAAGTGCAGCTTTGGAAAATACAGGCTGGAAGTCTTGGCAGCATCCATGTCATGTTAGGTCTGCAGGCTTGCAGAATGCTAGAGCTGGTGAGGCTTGGGAGCCTCCACCCCAATTTCAGAGGATGTATGGAAAAGTCTGGAGGCTCAGGAATAGATCTGTCACAGGGGCAGAGTCACCGAAGACAACCATTGCTAGAGCAATGCCAAGTGGAAACATGGGGTCTGAGTTGCAGCAGAGAAACCCCATCAGCACCATGTCTAGTGGAGCTGTGAGAGCAGGACCGCCATGGAGACCCCAGACCTGTGGAGCTACCAGAGTGCAATGTCAGCCAGTGAGAGCTAAAGCATCACCGAAGACCAAGAAACCCATAGGAGCAGAGCTGCAAGAGGACTTGGGGACTCAACCCCCACACCAGTGTGCAGAGGACATTGAACATGGAGTTGTTACAAGATTCACCAGCTTTGAGGTATAATGCCTGCCTTGCTGGGTTTCAGACTTCTTTGGGACCTATTTCTCCTTTCTTTTTGCTTACTTCTTCCTTTCAAAATGGGAATGTGTGCCCTATGTTTGTCCCACTATTGTATCTTGGAAGTAAATTACTTGTATTGATTTTACAGATGGGACTTTGAACTTCGGACTTCTGAATTGAAACAAGTTAAGACTTTGGGGGTGGAATAAATGTATTGGTATGTGAAAAGGACACGAGTTTTGGGAGGCCAAGAGTGGAATGTAGTGGATTGAATTATGTCCCCGAAAACTCGTTGAAGCTTGAATTGTGTTTTCCAAGTTTTATGTTTTAGGAACATAGCCCCCACTGTGACTGTTAAGAGGGTCAGAAATCCTATTATGGTAACTGAAAGGTGGAGCCTGGAAGAGGTGATTGGATTGTGGGACCATGCCATAGTGAATGGATTAAAAGTGGTGGTCAATGGTGTGGTTTTGAGGGCTTTAAAAGAAGAGAAGAATCTGTCATTCTCTCTCTCTGCTTTATCTGCTTCCACCATCTTGCAATGTGAGATCCCTGGGTCACTGTCACCACCACCAGATGGACTTTGGATTTCCCAGCCTTAGAAACTGTAAGCAATAAATTTCATATTTCTTTATAATTATCCAGTTCTGTGTATTTTGTTATAAGCAACACATAATGGACTAATACAATGTCTTTACTGCTTTTCTGCTTGGTAGATCATCCCGTTTTGAAAGAGGGTGTCAGAGTCTTTGCTTGTGATGGTGGATTTATGTATTTCTCCATGCAGTTGTGTTAGTTTTTGGCTCACATAGTTTGCAATCTTTTGTTAGGCACATACACGTTAAGAATTGTTGTCTTCTTGGAGGATTAATCTTTGCACCATTATGCAATGCCATATTTAATATCTGATAACTTTTCTTGCTTTGAAATCTCATTTGTCTGAAATAAATATAGCTACTTTGTTTTTTCTGGTTAGTGTTGTCATTGCATATTTTTCTTTATCCACATCCTTTGAATTCATGTGCATTTTTATATTTAATGTTGATTTCTTCTAGATATTATATGTGTATAGTTGGGTATTGTGTTTTGATCCATTCGGAAAATGTCTTTTAATTTGTACATTTAGAACATTGACTTTCAATGTGATTATTGGGCTAAACATCTTTGGTATTTTAATGAAGTGCAAGCTGAATACACAATAGAATTATGTTTTCTCCTTTCTTACCCCAGTATACATTGAACTTGGGTCTAAATTAGTTCATCAAACACATTATTTCAGGCATGCATTTATACTTAAGTCTTCATAGTTGTATTAGTCCATTTCTGTTGCTCATAAAATACCTGAAACTGATTTATAAAGAAAATGAAATTTATTGTTTACAGTTTTGGAGGCTAGGAAGTCCAAAGTCCAGGGAACACATCAGGTGAAGGCATTCTTTGGTGGGGACTTCAGTGATGTCAGGGTATACATTGCAGAATGGTGAAGCACAGAGAGGAAGGGGGGGGGGCAGGTGCCAGGGTCTTTTTAAACAACCAGCTCTCACAGGACCTAATAAAGTGAGAACTCACTCACTACCCCCACCTCCTAGGAAGAGCATTAATCTATTCATGTGGTATTTGCCCCCATGATTTAAACAGCTCCCAACACTGCCACATTAGGGATCACATTTCCACATGAGTTTTGGGGGGACAACACATTCAAACTCTATCATTCTGCTCCTTGCCTCCCAAAACTCATGTCACTGTCACATACAAAATACAGTCATTCCAGCCCAACAGTTCCAGAAGTCTTAATTTGTTTCAGTGACAACTTAAAATTCCAAAGTGTTATCTGAAACCAAAGGTAAAACTCCTTCCAGCTGTGAACTTGTAAAAATCAAAAACAAATTTATCTATTTCCAAGATAAAATGGTGGAACAGACACTGGGTACACATTCCCATTCCAAAAGGGAGGAATAGGCCAAAAGAAAGATGTAACAGGTCCTAGGCAAGTCCAAAACCCAGCAGAGAAAGTATTAAATCTTAAAACTGGTGAATCATGTACCTTAACTCCATGTTTAATGTCTTCTGCATGCTGGTATGGGGGTTGGGTCCCCAAGTCCTTGTGCAGCTCTCCTCCTATGGATTTCCCAGCCTGCTGTTCCACTCTGGTTGCTCCACAGGTCTGGGATCTCCATGGCAGTCCCACTCCCATGGCTCCACTAAGCATGGCGCTGATTGGGTTTCTATGCTGCAACTCCAACCCCATGTTTCTGCTTAGCATGGCTTTAGTGAAGACTCTTTACATTGAATCTGCCCATGACAGATCTCTTCCTGTGCCCCCAGACTTTTCCATACATCCTTTGAAATTGGGGTGCACCCCAAGCCTTCCCAGCTCTGGCAATCTGTGAGCACACAGGCCTAACACCACACGGACACTGCCAAGGCTTCTAGCTTGTATCTTTCAAAGCTGTGAGTCCAGCCACACCTGGGGCCAATTTAGTCAAGGCTGTAGCAATAGGAGTGTGGGAAGCAGCTTTCTGATGTGGTCCTGGGCAGTGAGCCCTGGAGGGCACCACAGACCTGTTTCTCAAGACCATTTTGTCTCTCTATGCCTTTGGGCCTGAAATCAAAGGGTTGGCCCCAGAAGCTTCTGCAGTGCCTTCAAGAACTTTTCCCACTTCTCCTGATGATCCCATTCTTTTGTGTTAATCTTCATAGTACCATTGATATTTTTCTTCTGAAAATGCTGTCTATTTCTCTACTATGTGGCCAGACTGCAAATTTTTCAAATCTTTATGCTCTGCTTCCCTTTTTGGTTTTCTGTTGTGCCTTTGCCACCATAACTCAGTATAGGCTGTTGCAAGTAGCCATGCAGCTTCTTTAATGCTTTGCTGCTTAGAAATTTCTTCACCAAATACCGTGGTTCACAACTCTTAAGTTCCAACTTCCACAAAGTCCTAGGGCATGGACATAACGCATCCAAGTTCCTTTCCAGTTCATAGCAAAGTTGATCTTTGCCCTAGTTTCCAAAAAGCTCCTTCTTCTTTCTGTCTAAAACCTCTGTAGAGTGGTCTTTACAGTCCATATTTCTATCAGCACTCTGCTTGCCACTGTGTAACCAGTCTCTAAGGCATTCCAAACTTCCCTCGTCTTTTTATCTTCTTCTGAGTCCTCCAAACTCCTCCAACCTCTCCTCAACACCCAGTTACAGAGCCATTTCCACACTTTCAAGTATCTTTTATGAGCAACACCCCAACTCTCTGGTACCAATGTTCTGTATTAGTCCATTTTGTGTTGCTATAACAGAATTCCTGAGGCTGGGTTATTCATAAAGAACAGAGGTTTATTTGGCTTAAATTTTGGGACAGCTGCATCTGGCATGGGCCTCAGGCTGCTTCTACTCATGGCAGAAAACAGTAGGCAGCTGGTGGGACAAGCAGATCACATAGTGAGAGAAAGCGAGCGGAGGTGCCAGGGTGTTTTTAAACAACCACTTCTCACAAAAACTAATAAAGTGTGAAACCACTCATTATCCACAACCCTTGGGGAGAGCATTAATCCATTCATGAGGGATCTGCCCACATGACTCAAACAGCTCCTAACACAGGCACATTGGGGGTCAGATTTTCACTTGAGTTTTGTGGGGACCACACATTCAAACTCTATCAACAGTAAATCATAAAATTTGAGGATGAGAAGAATTTTATTCATACTTTTATCACTAGTCACAAGGATGGTTTTAATTTATGAAGTAAAGTCTAAGGTAAATATTTTGGAGAGCATACTAAAGGTTTTAATAGTTAATTTTATAATTAATAAATTACGACAATGGCATATTTCTACTGTGATTTTTACTGCTTTTGCCATATACAGTACAAGGAAGCTGCATCTTGTGTAAGGTACATGTGACACACACACACACACAAAAGGGTGAGCTTCCAGATTTCTGTTTAGTGACCCAGGGCTGGTCACTTAACTTCTGGAAAATGTGCCATTACAGGGGTTGGTGCCATTTAAGGAAGTGGCTGTGGAATTCACCATGAAAGAGTGGCAGGATCTGAACAATGCACACAAGATCTCATACAGTGATGTGATACTGGAGACCTACAGTAGCCTGGTGTTGTTGGGTGAGTGAATCTCCACGGTAAGTCCCAGGAGCAATCGTTTCCTCTTTATTGATAAATACAGGAACAATTTATAAGGTTTAATGCTATTCAGGTAGGGTTCCATTCCATGAAGAATGTTAGTGTCATCCATCTGTAACAAAAGGATCAAATTGGCCTCTTCATTGCACAGCTTCTGAAGCCGAGTTCTTGACATTCTTCAAAATACCTGACTTAACAGTTTGGCAAAATCCTACATTATTTCCCACTAACAGGATGCTGTGTTACCAAACCTGAGGTGATCTTCAAGTTGGAGTAAGGAGCAGAGCCACGGATGACTGGTGAATCCCCCAAACAGAACCTCCCAGGTCAGTCAACACATCCTGGGCAGAAGCCAGGATGAGTAAAACCCAGAAGATGTTGCCCGAGTTCAGCTGTTTCTACCAATTTTTTCCATTTCCCAGAGCTGAGAATGACTCATTTGCATGTGCAGGGCCAAACACACACATTACATGATCTCCAAGGAGAAGTCACACGTGCATATCCCACATTTTATTTTGCTGATATTTTTTGACATTTACCCCAAGTGTAATTCTTATTCCTCTCAGACTTTTTTTTTTTTGCTTTTTATTTTCTCAGTATTCTTAGTTGCCCTCTTTTTTTTTCATTCCCATGCATTTTTCTTTCAAAAATTTATTCATACATTCATTTATTTTTTCTGCATATCTTAATTGAGCCCTTCCTTTTTTTTATTAGCACTGTTGATTTTATAGTTGTACTTATAACAGCAATGATCTAAATATTTTTTCTCTTTCATAGAATTCATATTCTCATCAGAGAGAGAGAAACAAGAAAATAATGTATGTAAGTAGCTGTACAAGAGCCATGAGGAATATTCTACCAGAATAAGAGACAGAGGAAAATTAGATGTGATAATTTAGGAATGATTATCAGAGAATGCAGTTTTAGAGGGATTATTAAATATTTACTTTGTTATAGCTTCATTTCAAGTAAATTGTTCTTAAATTTTGAACATATAATACATAAGTAAATATAAAATACAGATTCAAGAGTGTACATCACTATTAGAGATAAAATTTGGAAATTATTTAAAGTCATACTTATAGAAAATGTCATCTATGGAGAAAATGAGAAAAATTCAGGCCAAGGCTTATGGACTATGACATCAGATATCATGAAGCTGAGGAGGACAGCAGGAGACAAGCTGAAACTCCAGTGTACAAAACAAAAGCCTTCAGAAGCAGTGAATTATCAGTAAGGGGTATGTGTAACAAAAATTGGGGGGAGAATGCCAGTTGATCTCAGAAACAGCTAGGAAAACATTTTTCAAAGATGGTGGGCAAAGCCTAGGGTTATAGAACCAAATCCTTTAGACCAGCAGAAACGGATTCCCAGAGTGGTAGACTAGGGCTTCCTGTAACTATTATGGTTTTGAGAAGCAAAGGAAGTCAGGTTAAATTGAAGGAAACTGTCTTCATCCACTGTGGGGAAAAAGAGACTTTATATTTGGGGGGGGGGAATAAAAGAAACGAACCCTCCGTTAGAGACTACCTATACACACATTTCTGCTTAGCACACAGACAAAGGGTCCTCTGCTGCACCTGCAAGTAGCTGATCCAGGAAATCCTTGCCATCTTCAAAACAGAATAATGAGAAAAATTACCAGCATAAGACACCTACTGATATTACAAGAATACAATAGAGAAAAAGAACAAGGTGAACAAGTGGCAGGTGAGGAGTAGTTAGTTGAAAACTGTGGATAGGCAGTGGATAAAAATTTTTATTAAATATTTCTTTATGAATTAAAAAATAAAATGAGTGAATTGAAAACATGATGCAACATTAGAAAATACACTAATATAATTTATTACATTATGTCACTAGAAAGAAACACTATATACTTATGAAAACAATACCAGTGTTAGTCCATTTTGTGTTGCTTATAACAAAATACACAGAACTGGGTGATTATAAAGAAAATCAAAATTTATTGCTCACAGATTCTGAGACTGGGAAGTCCAAAGTCCATCTTGTGATGGCGACAGTGACCCAGGGAATCTAACATTGCAAGATGGTGGAAGCAGAGAGAGAAAGACAGATTCTCCTCTTCTTTTAAAACCCTTAGAACCATGCCCTTTATCACCCTTTTTAATCCATTCAGCACTGCATGGTTGTACAATCCAATCACCTCTTCAACGCTCCACCTTTCAATGACCATAATAGGATTTCCCACCCTCTTAACAGTCACAGTGGGGACCAAGTTTCTAATAGATAAATCATGAGCTACACAATTCAAGCTTCAGAGAGTTTTGGGAGGTCATAATTCATTCCACAACATTCCACCCCTGGCCCCCCAAACTCATGTCTTTTCACATGCAAATACATTCCTTTCATCCCCAATGACTTGTTTCAACCCCAAAGTCCAAAGTTCAAAGTCCCATCTGTGAAATCAATACAAGTCATCTACTTCAAAGATACAATGGTGGTACAGACATAGGGTACACATTCCCATTCCAAAAGGGAGAAATTGGCCAAAAGAAAGGGGTAACAGGTCCCAAATACATACAAAACCCAGCAGAGCAGTCATTAAATCTCAAAGCTAGTGAATCTTGTAACTTGACTCCGTGTTCAACATCCTCTGCACACTGGCATGGGGACTGGGTTCCCGAGTCATTGGGCAGCTCTGCCTCCTATGGCTTTCCTAGTTCTAGGCCACACCACCTCTCCCAGGCTGGCATTGAACTCTGGTAGCTCCACAGGTCTGGTGTCTCCATGGAGGTCCCACTCTCATGGCTCCACTAGATGTGGCACTGATGGGGTTTCTCTGCTGCTCAACTCCCACCCCATGTTTCCACTTGGCATTGCTCTAGGAAAGGTTGTCTGTGGTGACACCACCCTGTGACAGATCTCTTCCTGGGCCCCCATACTTTTCCACACATCCTTTAAAATCTGGGTGGAGGCTCCCAAGTCTTCCTAGCTCTGGCAGTCTGAAAGCCTGCAGACCTAAAAACAAGTGGATTCTGCCAAAGCTTCTGGCTTGTATTTTCCAAAGCTGCAAGTCCAGCCACACATGGAGTCAATTTTCTCATAGCTGGAGTAAGGACTTCTTCTTTTTTTTTTTTTTTTTTCCTTTTTTGTCTTTTTTACTGACCGGCAACGGGATCGCAACCCTCGGTGTTGCGCCTGCACCGCGCTCAGCCAGTGAGCGGGAACCGGTCTCCACATGGGATCCGAACCCTCGGCGGGAACGCCGCCGCACTCCCAAGCGGCACACTCTCCAGTGCGCTACCGGGCCGGCCCCTTCTCCTTCCTTTGATAATCTCTTTCCTTTGTACTAACGTTCTTAGCACCATCGGATTTTTCCTCTGAAAATGCTCTCTGTTTCTCTACCACATGGCCAGGCTGCAAATTTTCCCACTCTTTACTCTCTGCCTCTCTTTTCTGGCTGTATGTCATGCCTTTGCCACCATAACTCAGTGTAGGCTGTTGCAAGTAGCCATGCAGTTTCCTTAATGCTTTGCTGCTTAGAAATTTCTTCTGCCAAGTACTGTGGTTCACAACTCCTAAATTCCAACTTCCACAATGTCCTTGCACATGGACTGAACACAGCCAAACTCCTTGCCAGTTCATAGCAAAGTTGATCGTTGCACCAGTTTCCAATAAATTACTTTTTACTTTTACTTGAGACCTCCTTAGAATTGTCTTTGTAATCCATAATTCTATAAGCATTCTGCTTGCCACCACGTAACCAGTCTCTAAAACATTCCACTTTCCCTCATCTTTTTGTCTTGTTCTGAGTCCTCCAAACTCCTCGAACCTTTGCCTAACACCCAAGCAACATCCACATTTTCAAGTAGTTGTTGTAAGCAACACCCAACTCTCTGGTACCAGTTTTCTGTATTACTCTGTTTATGTTGCTTATAATAAAATACTTGGAACTGGGTGATTTATAAAGAAAATTAAATTCAATGCTTACAGTTTCTGAGGCTGGGAAGTCCAAAGTCCATCTGGTGGTGGCAACAGTAACCCAGGGGTCTCAACATTGCAAGATGGTGGAAGCAGATAGAACAGAGAGAGAGCAAGAGACAGAGTCTCCTTAAAGCCCTCAGAACCATGCCCCTGACCACCTTTTTTAATCCATTCAGTACTGCATGGTCCTACAATCCAGTCACCTCTTCAAGGCTCCAACTTTCAAATACCATTGACATAATTCAATCTACTACAGGAGCCCAGGGGACTTCTGGTCTTTTTAGCTTTTACAGGTGCTCTCTCGTGGTGTTAGACCTTTACTAGTTAAGATCAAATGTTGTGTTTAATCTGGGTATTTTGTTTTTTCTTTCAGTTCTGTGTTGGATTATTTGCTGTTCCCACCACTTTACGCTTTGAACCAACGCGCTGTTCTTTGGTTACTTCTACAATGGAGGAACTTCCTGTGGGGTCAGTACTTGAGCCCTCTGGTTGAGCTAAATTACTGCTTTGCTGCTGATTTCCTGAGGAAGGCTTTATGTGCAGCTCATGTTTTAATGGTTAACCTTGTAGGTACTTCTGTGTCTTGTGAGTTCTGGTACACCCACATTGTGTGGAAACTCTGGTGTAGGCCTGAGTCTTTTCGACAGACTGCAACCCCTGCAGTTCTATATTCCTGACCAGTCCCCACTGAGTGATCCTGTGCTGACTGTATGGTAGATCAGCTGTCCATGCTGTTCCCCAATGTTTCCCCTTTTGGGCCCATCTCCCCCACTGCCTACACTCCAAACACTTCCCACGGAATGGGCCATGCACTGTTCCCTTGTGATGATGCACTGGCCTCTGAGTGGTTTCTTTTTTCTGTTGTCTGTAGCTCCCCTCTCCTTTGAAAGTCCACAGAAACCCTGTTAGTGGTCTTGCTGGCCTGGGCTCACCAAGGCCCTCTTCTCCCCTGCCACTTCCAAGCAACATCATACAAAGGGCACCGCTGTGGCTTTTGCCAGCTCTTGCTCCATGTGCTCACCAGCTCCAGACTTAAAGCATCTGGGGATCAAAATGGTGGGAGTGATTTTTTTCTTTCTCTCATCATGGCTTTTCCTGCCTTCGTGAACTCCATAGGTCTCTCCTCCTCTTCTCCTGAGCTCTAGCAGCCACAGCTTGTCTTTCATTGCTTTTAATGGTTGTAAGTTGGTTGATTTCTGGAGGTAGTGATGCTGGAGATCATCTAGTTTGCCATCTTGACCAGAAGATTTGCCTCAGAATTTTTGACATTAAATGTCATTTCTTTATATATTGTTAAACTCATTGTCTAAAGTACTGTGCTTCTCACTTTCTTCCGATTCTCCTGTTGTAGGTAAATTTGTATGACCATTATTAGAAAACTCTCTCTTACATAAACATAATTTTTTTCTAATGTTTGTAGCTAACACAGAGCCAGTCAGTGGGTTGAACAGAAATACTTCCATGAGCATGTACAAATCAGGCACAGAATGGTTAAAAGATCATTTAAACTGCTGTAAGCAGTAGTATTTATCTTATTCTATTCAGTGAAATGTTGCTGGAGACCAGCTCCAGTCGAGTTGGGGGTCTTTGAAAGAGGGATGGAGAGGTGGCAAAAATAAAAAACACAGGCAGAGACCTCAGTTCCTTTGAAGCACATTCTCACCCTGCGGGCTGTCAGCGCTGTCACAGCCAGAGCAGCTAAAGCAGCTGAAGCAGCCTTTAGACTGAAAACAGCATTTTTATTTGTTACACAACATGGTGGGGGGGCGGGTAATGTGGGCATTTTAACTACATAAACCTTTAAAATTATTAAACCAATAGTTAAATGGAAACTTTTCTTAAAATTACGTCAGTTCTCATAAAATTAATAATCCACAAGTTTAAATAAAACTTGGTGGTCAGCCAATTCTTTCTGGTGATTATATCTGTTGTGGTCGATTAGTCCATGACTCGCTGTTCTTGATGTTTCTCACCATTGTGTTTATTTTTTTTTCTTGCCCTCATATTAACAAACTTATTACTACCAGCAAGCATAAATTATATGTCTGACTCAAAATTGAGATGGCAGCAATTGCGGTTTCAAAGTGTTACAAACCTTCTATATATTTTTAACTTTGATTTAATGATTCTCATATTTCTATAGGCATGAACCTATTGTTCATTTGGAAAAGGAATAAAGGATATTTGAACAGCTTTATCATGCATGTACTTAATATAGCAGCTGTGTGGCCCAATGTAAAGTGTCAAAGTGCACAGCACCATCCCTCACAAAACCAGGTGCATTCTAAATTCCATCTATAATCTTTATTTTTAGGAGGGAAAGTTGTGCATCATATGTTTTTGTCCCAATATCTTACTAAGATGTTTTTATTTAACTTAGGACACCAGTGAGTAACAAGGTTTCTATGCATTCTTTCTCATAAACTTAATTTTTTCTATAGTATCTTTTTTCATTAATTCCAACCATTTTCTTATCATTAATGTAATCCCCTGTAAATGACATTTTCAACTTAAGTCATATTTAGGACGTCCCCTAGGAGGGTATCAAATCTTTCCTTTTCCCATTTTATAATCCATATAACCATTTACCCAGATGGTGGGAAGAGGATGGGGATTTCTATTGTTTATTAATTCCTTCAGTAAAAACAATTGCTCATGGCTACTCATAAGGTGTTTTTAAAACATCCGTTGGTGTAATAAATTGACTCAAAAGGGACGATTTGGAATTGTTCAGTCTTCCCGGATCTTTTGTGGGATAATCTAACTTTATGACAACTGTTCGTGTGTCATTTTTTGCATCTTTTGGAAACTCAGGAAACTGCCACACTGACCAAAACATCAAAAGAGAAAGCGAAAGCAGCACCACTATGCCGAGGCAGAGATCTTTAAGTGAAAGCAAGTACTGGTAGCTGGGGCCCTGCCAGCAGCTCTCCCTCCAGGGCCTTGCCAACTAGGAAAGGTCAGCCCAAGCTATTCTTTTCAAGACCCTGCCATGATGTGGACCACGCCAAAATGTAGCGTTTGGAGGGAAGATGTATCCATTATTTCCATTCCTCATATTTTTAAATGGGACCACATAATAGATAGGATTGTGTGTACCACGTGCTCTGTACTTCAGGAATATCTTGTGTTTACATCTGCAGTGATAGAGTGCTGTGTTTGTAACTTGCCACTAAGAGGGACAACAGAGTAAATCTCACTTCCACTTGTGTATTGCCTTGTGCATGGTTCTTATTGCACATAGGTCTGCAGACCTAGCAATGGCCCCAGGGCCTGTTTTCACTGAAGGAGCCTCCTGGAGTCTGCAGTGGCCCCATCTCTGTTTTCAGAGCCCTAGTGAGGGGAGGAGACCCAGTCCCCAAGGAGGCATAACAGGAAGTAAGACAAAATGGGTTCCAGCATAGAACCTGAGGTGTGGCTGAGTGCAGATGTTGTAGGGTCTTGATGGGCAGAGAGGTCACTTCCACTTGCCTCCCTTCTGTCCCCTAATCTGTAGTGTCAATGGGCAGAAACTACAGCACCATTATTTTTTTTATCATTTTCCATCTATATTATTTTCTTTTCTTTCTTTCTTTTTTTTTTTTTTTGTTCTTTAGGGGTTGAATTTTGCTATCTTTTTCTTGCTTTTTAGTTGGAAGTTTAGCTTTTTGATTTCAGATCTTTACAAAGTACAGTATTTATAGCTATAAATTTTATTCTAACTCCTTTTTTTTTTTTTTTTTGTTCTTTAGGGGTTGAATTTTGCTATCTTTTTCTTGCTTTTTAGTTGGAAGTTTAGCTTTTTGATTTCAGATCTTTACAAAGTACAGTATTTATAGCTATAAATTTTATTCTAACTCCTTTTTTTTTTTTTTTTTTTTTTTTTTTTTTTTCGTGACCGGCAACGGATCGCAACCCTCAGTGTT